CTTATCTGAGGAAATACATTCCTGGATATATCTTTAATCTTTAATATCAATACAAAATTATAAAACGAAGATTCCACAAAAAGGTGAATTTTCATGTAAGTTTTAACTTACATCACCCCAAATCTCTTTTTTTTCTTTAGCTGAGCCATCCTGCCACCTGTTGGCAGCTCAGCTCGGGCTGGGACTCGAACTGCTGTTGCTCGGAGTTCGCACTCTTGAGTGAACTCTTAACCAACTGAGCCACTCGGCCGGCCCCCAAAATCTCTCTTAAAACACCATTGCCACCAAATCTCTCTTAAAACACCATTGCCACATTTTCTAATTTTCCTGGAAGTTAATGTAAAATAGTCTGACTTTGGTTAAAAATGTTAATTTTTAAAGTCCTCCAAGACACTCATTTAAAAAACCCACTTGCACAATCACCACTCTGCTTGATCACCTGCCCTGTTAACTATGAGATGTAGAACTCCTTTTTAGTTTACCATCACCTGCTCTAACAGAAGCATAATTTACAAACACCCCTTTTCAGAGTCCAGAGTGCTAACCATTACACGATGGAACCACAAACTCCCCTTTTCAAAGATCAAAACCAATCCCTCAACATACCTCTGTCTAATCAGGTCCAGTTTTTCAGGGTCTGTAATAACCACCTGTACACCAAGCTTCATTTTTGTTTTCTGCAGGCTGAAGTCAAGGCAAGCAATTTTTGCATTAACTATTCTCTTGGGCATGCCTATAATTGAACATAAAATTAAGTTCCTTTATAGTAACTATTAACAATGCTATATTTTACAATATACGTCTATCCTTAAAGAATAAAAAGCAACAGAGATGTTAAACTACGTTATATGTAAACACAAATTCAGATTTCGTTACATTAAACCTTAAGGAACACATTTTAAATACATGACATTAAAACACACGTTCTTCTAACTTGCATTTCCAAGTTATACATGCTTTAAGTTACTAAAGAGAAACTGACAATGTGATGTACANGATTTCGTTACATTAAACCTTAAGGAACACATTTTAAATACATGACATTAAAACACACGTTCTTCTAACTTGCATTTCCAAGTTATACATGCTTTAAGTTACTAAAGAGAAACTGACAATGTGATGTACAATTTCCTGTTTCTCTGGGCTTCCTTAAAGAACAGGAAGTGCACAGCTTGAATAGTTCACCTGAAGATGAACAGTATAATCCACAAAAAGCCAATTTTAACCTTCAGTCCTCTTGTTACATGACCAAATCCCGAGCCTTACCCTGGGCTCCCACCACACAGTTGAGTGCATAGCCATTGATGAGCAGACTCTCCATCTGACTTCTCCCATGGGCTTTCAGAATATTGATGGAAGTGACTGGATAGCGAGGCTGGCCTCTTGCATCTGTGTATTTAACAGCAAGTACAGCATCTACTACCATATTAGCAAAGAAATCATCATTCCTAAGGCAACAGTTAAGGAGAATAAGAGACTTGGAATGGACAATGTGTGCAAATGAAAATCAAGGGTAATTCAAAGGCACTTCCTTTTTGCTATCTCATCAAAGAAACAAGCATTATTCATTCCATCAAAATGCCAGAGTACTATTTATTGCTATCTGCAATTCATACTACTTTTACACATACTTTATATTATTACCTTTCCCCCTAGAAAAGCAGAGAAGGGAACAGGCAATTTCAATACAGCATCACCTAGCACAAAACCAACACAAGTTCTTACTTTTTAAAAACCCTAAAATTTATGGACCATCACAAGGATACATTCCAATGACTTTGGATGACATTGATGTCTTAGCAGCATTAATCAGGCAATCCCTTCCAAGATCATCTGTGTTAATAATTAGATTTTCACTGATGTAACGCACTGCTTCCCTGTGAGGGAGAAAACGCTCATAAATTCATTATTCAAACTTTTGTTTTATCACAGTGTCAGAAAGTCATAGACACCAATTTTCTGTCCAGCCATTTCATATAGGAGGAGGACACATAAATCCTCCCTCTTCAGATCATGGCAATTTTAATCTATCCCATAAGCATAGCCACTAAAATCTATTAGGAGAAAATGTGGTAGTCAAATGGGAAAAAAAAAGATTCTCATTCTGGCCCTACTTCTTACTTCAAATACTACTACTTAAATGCTAAAATACAGTTTTCACAAAATAAAATGTAGTCATTAAACATTTAACAGTTCCCAATTATTACATCAAATAACATAAAATTTTCTCTGAACGCAAACAATCTTACTTGCAAGCAAGTCGATAGCCACTAATAACTGATGTGGGATGAATTTTCTGTTTGACTAGTTCATCTGCATTTTTCAGAAGTTCTGCTGCAATAATAACCTGTAGAGAAAACATTCGTTGCTCTAATATCAGTCTGTCATTCAATATGCATAATGCATAAGTAAAAACACCAAAATGATCAGATATTATCAACCAGAATAATGATGACAGTGAAATAAATAACTGGTTATTAGAAACCTGAAAAAAGATTACAGTGTTCAATATCAATATGCACATGGCCAAAGCCAGAAAAAAGTTCTGGCCAATAAAGTAGCTCTGCAGTAAAACAGTAAAGAACTACATATCCATTACCATTAAAGATTAAGTGTACAGCAGACTCTAAATCAAGTGTCTGACTAC